ATTTTTATATCAGCAAGGAAACAGAAGGGTTTTCATTAGCATGAAAACTCGTAATTGTTCTGCAACATGGATATAGTTAACTTTCTATGACTTGCTACGTACGGTAACTGTAAAAGACACATCATCTGACATAGGGGAGGATGCAGTTGGGAAGTCCTCACAAGCTACATAATTTAACATTGTGTTTTGGCATATCTTCAAGGGCTAAAAAGGGTGATAGAGAAGCTTAATGGACATTTAATGGACAATTGAAAACCTCTGAGATGTGTATTTGTGGCTTGCAAAATTCCATGACAACTGGCATTTAGATTAGCAAAGCTTTCAAAATGAGAAAACTTTGACTAACACTGATTTGCACCAGAAGTACTTAAAAGGATCAGATTAAGACTGTTTAACTTTAAACAATGAATTGTCTGTAGAATGTTTCAAACATCCTGCATGGAAACTAGTGTCAAATTTCGGTGAAGAAGTGATGTTTGGATAGTGTTGTTACAAACAATTTATGACTGGAATATCTTATGACTTAGAAATAAAATGGAGTGAAGCTGTGAAAGCAGACTGTCAAGTGGACCAATCTACAGACAGAATACTGTGGAAAAGAACCATCTGATGACTGTGGTCATGGTTGACCATGGGTTTCTGGCCAGCCTCCTAGAAAGGAGATGCAAAGAGGATGTGGTACCTTGCTGTCTGAGGCACATGCTTTCTAACGTGGCTTGTCCAGTGCTCTTGATGTTGCTGGAGTAGTTGAAAACAAAACAAACACTCCAGCCTTTCACATACCCCTTGACTGCTCAGAAGCTTTAAGCAGAGCCCCTGAAGGATTTGTGCAGAATTTAGTGTGTAAGAGAATTTGTGGTGATGGTGGTGCAGAGACATGTCCTGATTTGCCTTAAAACTTGTGTTTCCCGTGTGACCCATGTTTCTGTATTCCCTGTTTTGCCTGTGCACGGTGGTCTTCAGCGTAGTCAAGGGGGACAGAAGGAACAGCAGAGAATTTGCTGGATTGAAAGATTCAGATTGAATACTTCAGTTAACTTCAGCCTTTTCAGATAGGCATTGAAATTTCCAAAGAAAAGCTGTATAGCCCTCAGACAGATCCTCTTCTACAACTTAATTCTGATTGATCTTGCCACGATGAAAGATAGAAAACCTCCTCTGTTTCAGGCTCTCTGACATCAGGAAAAACGTCAGAAGAGCAAACGTGAAGCACTGTTTGCGTACCAGGTACAGAGGGGCACTGACACCTGCTGGGAGAGATGCGGCAGAGCAGACCGAGTTCTCCCTTTTCCCTTACCAACCTCGCAGAGGACCCTGGTGAGGTGCAGGAAGGAAGGAAGGGTATAAAAGCTATTTTGGGTACAATCAGAGACTATAGGAGGGATAAGGGTAAATCAGGGTAGGAGCAAAGCATAGGTTTTCTAAATGAAAAAACATCAGAACGCACAGATATGGGATTAGAGAAACAAGAACGTTTTTTAAGTGTTTACAAAGCAGGGGTGTAGCATGGTCAGCTATGAAGTAGGCCTTTAGCAATTCATGTTTTAAACTGGCACTGACAAAGGGCAAAAGTAGGTAATTCAGCAGGTGAATGTCTAGAACCTGTTTATTTTGTCAAAGGTGCTCAAGTTGTAGATGCTGCCGCAAAGTCAGAGATGCCTCATGGAGTTTGAACTCAGACACATTTACAAGTGATAAAAAAACTCCATACAGTGTCACTTCTGAGGGTTTAGCAGTAGCGGCTTGGTCTAGAATGAAGGAACAGTGGGACGACTATTGTTCCAATTCTTCCTGTGGGATAGGGTGGGGACAGGGAGTTGATGGCTAGTGCACCATTCTTCTGTGGATGAGAACGGTGTATTTTAGTGGATTTAGTAAACTCACCACTAGATTAAGACTTCTCAGGTCATGAGAAAAAACTCTGTTGAAACAAACTGTTTCATAAAGAAAGAGTAAGGTTTTGAAATGTGGCTTCATTCCCACTTGGAAGAAAACCTCGGCATTTTAGTGTTCATCTCAAGTCTGTATTGCATTTTCATTCTTCAGTGTATTTACATGAAAAGCTTCAATATGAGAAAATGCTACTGCATTCCTGAACAGCTAGAGAGCAAGTTGTTATGACACACACTGGCAAAGTCTTTCCCATTTATTTCTGGAGACTAAGCTTGGTGAAATCTGTCCTCTAATTCAACAGAATTGTATTTAAATGCAATTCTGTCAAAGCTGAGCAAACTCTAGCACTGAGTTGTTGCTGTTTGCCTTTTAGAGATTGTGATTAGATTGATTAGATCTTCTGATACAGATGAATGCAAACCAGCCATCCTGAAGACAAAACCAACAAAACTGAACCCAAAAGCCTAAATTTGGTGATGCAGAAGTCACCACTAATAGAGTGAGCCTTCTCATAAAAAGTCCAGTTCTTCAATCATCTACTTTAAGAGTTTTCATACAAGTCTTGTTTCAGATCTTTGATCCTTTACCCACTTGTTAAGACTGTACCATCTAAACAGATTTGAACACGTGCAACGTGGAAAGCTGTACAAGTAAGGAGGGTCACAGCAGAACCAGCTGAAGCACCATTGCCTAGGGAATTACATGTGAGGCTGACAGCCAGTTAGGATTTTAGTCTGACCTTTCAGGACACCAGCTTTCTGCTGTTAGTTCCAGCATTAGGAGCAAATGTTGGAGGCATCTGTGCAGAGAATGTGCCATTGGCACTGGGGCGTTTTGTGTGAGCAGGGTTACATGCAACTGAGGGAAATGGTACCAGTGACTTTCTCTCTGAATTAGTGTTCTTGCCACAGGTATCAGTAGAGTGGGAGCAGGGGGTAAGAAAACTGAGACAGCTTAACTGGGCAGAGAAACATAATTTCTGAAGTTGCTTCCTCCTTGCAAAAGTAAGATAAGTTTTCTCATTAATACTAGTTGCATCAGAATTAACCTCATTCATTTTGAGAACTCCTTATCCTTCATCTTGGGGATACCTGACATTGCATGAGGTAAAACGTTATTGCCAAAATACTGAGTATAATCAGTTCTATGGTGTGTGCATTTGCCTTGACACTAGGTGAGACTATGTTTTGATGAATAGTTGGGTTTCTTCCCAAACGTGTGTCTTTTGAGATACCCAACAGGAGGCTTGTGTGTTTCAGACCAGTAGAGATTTTCTGCTGAGATAATCTTAATTGCATCAAAGTGAAGTTGATGTGTTTGAATTCTGTAGCTGTTCCTGTGTACTGCTGTCTTACATGGGTAGTGTTGCTCGGTGATGTCTGTGTGTAGAAGAGTTGATGAAGCTCAGGAAGATAATCAGGCTACAGCTGAATTACCTTTGTTGCATGAAAGCAACTATTTAAATTATTCCATGTATTAGAAGATTTAAGTGTTGAGATTGCCTTTCAAAGTACAGCATAAATTCTAACTGACCTGTGTCAGAAAAGATGATCCTCAAAGGAAACGTTACCTATGTTATTTCTTTTGAAAGAATTTTCACTTACTCCTTTACCCCTACCTCATGTCTTTTCTGTTGCAGCAGGTGAAAACTGAATTAGCAATTTCAGTGCCCCTGAAACTGATGCATCTTTGTAAGCAGCTCTCAGTCTATAAAAGAAATAATTTTTAAAATAGCCTTCTGAATATTTATTGTATGCTGTGAGGATACAAAAAGAGGACAAGCCTATTTCTTCTACCCTTGCAGATCACTTTTAGTATATTATTCCTCTTTAAGAAGCTGCTAGACATGGCTGCCTAGAGGTAATCTTTTTTATTATAAACATGGAACCTCTCTCCCCTCCCACCCCCAACAGGAAAAACACGTCCTGGGTCTCCCAGCAAGATCATTTTAAAGATTGTAGCACAGTGATAGAGCTGCTAGTTTCATGCTGCCTACACTGGGGGCCTTTGATAAGAGCCACACCTGCTTTGGCATCACTGACTTCAGCTGCACAAAGGAGGAGCCCCGAAATATCTGGGATCTGGGCGTTTCCCATGCCAACACTAACGTGCCTTATGAAGAGGTCTGTGCCTTATGGAAGAGAGGGCATTCCTGCTGTTCACTTAAGGCATCAAGCTTAGGCCAAACTAAGACGTCATAATTTAGGACTCTAATTTAGGACTCCAGGTATCAATGGAGAGGTATTTTCAGGGGCAGTTACTAAAACACTAGTGGATAGTTTGTTACTTGAGTCTCCATTCACAGTTACTAGCAATGGGCTGAGGCTAACAGTAGCAAGAGAGGGGAGGGAAGCCAAGAAAACCAAGAAAAACTTACTACTGCCATGGCTTCAATATGGCAGTATCTGTTACAGTGTTAGGGTACAATTTCATCTGATTTCTTTGGCAACAAAGGCAGCTTAAAAGGTTTCCTCTTCTGCCTGCTGGTATTCAGCTTGGGCTTTTTCCTGTCTCCCGTAGGTCTCTCTATCCATGTGCTCTAAAAGCTTGTTGGACCCTGCAGCAAATCGGATTACTAAAATGGCTGGGGTTTTGTTGGGAGGTGGTTTTTTATTTAGAAGCAACAAAGGTTGTGGAGTGTTTGTTTTTGTTTGCCCAGGACATTTCAAGGATCTGGTTTAGGCTAACCCCACAAACCATGGCACAGCTGTGCAGGAAGAGGAGCAGACTGCAGCGCCGGCATCTATCTGCTTGCGCCTGAAACTCTCTCCAGCTCTGCTGCTAAAGAAAATACAAAGGGGCTTCACAAACTGTGTGAACTTTCCTGATAAATAATGACCTGGTTTTGCTACCCAAGTTTATGGAATATTGGATAAACCCTGGCAGTAAGTTGAACATGTTCGTTACGGACTTCAAAAGAAAATGACAGTTTCAGCTACCGGGTCCCTGAATTTGCCATTTGTTTGAAGTATCTGGATTAAAAGCCAGGTTTGGAGACTGACTTTAAAAAAAATAAATTCATAAAACTGCCATTACTATATGTAGCCTTTTTTACTCTTTTTACTCTTGCTTTCTGTGAAGGATTATCTATCTCCTTTACTCTGTACTTACTACTGCTCTTGACTTTCTTCCATAAGTTCTTCCAAATAGCATGACCTGGATGAAGCTGCATAATCCTCTCCCTTGTTCTAGATAAAGGGAGATGAGTTAAAGCCTAGAGGAGGAGCACAAGGCCCTTGTGGACCCACCCTTCAATCCATCTCCTTCCCAAGTGTGGGGAGGACTTCTGATCCCCCTTTGATGCTCTTGCCCTCAGCCATTGAGCCCAGACTCCTTAGGAGGCTTGTGTTTTACTGTAGTGATTCCCAAAATACAGTTTTGTCACTTCAGTATTAAGGCTTTTCTTTTTACACTGAATTATTGTTGGATTTTATTTGTTTCTCGAGGTATGCTCTCCCCCCCCCCCTTTTCCTCCTGCAGTCAGATGTACGCTGCAAATGGCACAGACAGTGCCTCCTATTGTGGCTCAGACTCAAGACTTCACATATGTAAAATGTGACTTGCAGCACTTTCTTTGAAGCCTAACCACAGCCAGGGAGCTGTAATTGCAGTCTTTGATTGTGCCGACTTCACTTGTGGATTGGGCTTTGCTAGGGCATGCCTTGCTTGGCCAGACTTCAGCTACAGCCCCCCAGTGAAGCCTTAGATGTGGGAAGTCTTCAGTCTCCTTAGCACATGCCTGTGGTTTCTTGAAAAGAATCCTGATTTGACCTGTTTTATATCTGTAAGGCAACACCATCATCATTCGTATTTTTTAGGTATTATTTGGTTTATCAACAGTAGAAGCAATTTCCAGTGTGCAGCCTTAATGTGCAGCTGGGGAAAGGCTGGGTTCTAGATGCTGTTTTCAGTATAGCTACTGTGTAATTTGCTGTACTGCAGTACTCACTTAGAAATAAAAGTATTTGGGGCTTCACTGTGCCTGTCCCCTCGCAGAATTCCATTAGTATCTGCAGGCTCTCTATTGGGGAGGGCATAATCAAGCATCAGGAGGGACTATGGAAAGGAGGCAAGCGCTGCAAAAGCTGCCTTTGGATTGAGAAACAAGTGATGGGCTGCTGCTTGAAAAGCTGAGGGACAGAGCAAGGCCATGGTCGTTGTTTTAACCTCCTGACTTCAAAGACAGCTTGCTGGTAAGGGAAGGGGGGAGGAGGCAGGGAACCATCTCAACAGAAGAGCATTTCATTTCCTTCAGTGAAGTAGACATTCCTGGCTGCTAATGGGGAGTAGCTCTGAATCACATCGCTTGTATCAGACTGCTGTGAACTACTGGCCTGGCGCCTCAAGGCCATTCCTCAACAGGAAGCTGAATGTTTTCATGTAAGACTGAGAGGAAAACCTTCCCAGGAAGAGCAACCTGGACCAAACCTTTGAAAATCTGGGATGAAAAGGCACAGAATAAATATAAAGCTGCAGGGTGCTCTCCCCAGTGTTCCTCTGCTGTTTGCTTGGCCTCTCTTTCGTGCTCCTTGGAAAGGTAGAGCCCGTCACAGCTCTTTGATCCACACGTGTTACAGAGCACTGTGCTACTTTATGGAAAGGAAAAAAAAAAGACAGGAAGCTCAGAAGGCTTTTTTTAGTTGGGACTTGGGCCGGTTTTATGAGGAAATAGGAACTGAATTAGTCAATACAGACCACCTCTGTTGAAACCACTGGTTTGCCAGTGGACTTTCAGCTGTGATGTTTAAGAGGCCACAGTGGCTTTAAATGTTCTTCTGTGGCTACCAGCAGCAGGTGAAAATATTCATTATGTATCAGGGATGGTGGCATTTTGGGGAGGAAGGAGTGTCCTTCAGATTAAAGCTATATATATGAATTTGTGCTTGTTCCTTCCGCTCTACTTAGTCTGCAGCCAAACCTCTTTAATGTCCTTTGCTTTCCACTAAAACAATGGTCATGTGGGTGGCCTCCGATGAGGAGTCAACTTCTTTAGTAAGATTTTGGGGCCTCAGTTTGTTCTCACTAGAATTGAACGGTCAAGAATCAGTTTTGGAGACTTTCTGTCCTCGAGTAGATTAGCCTGTGTAACTTCTTATTCAGGAGCTGTACCCAACCAGTACACTGGTTACACTCTCGCACAGGACCTGCTGCAGATGGGAGGTGGGTGCCCAGTTATAAATGGCCCTGGTTTAAATACTGCTGCTGTAGTATTTGCTGATTAATTCTGCTTGTGGCTCTTAACAGGCTCAAGCGGTCTATCTATTAGCCTAACAGAAGTTTAACTCGTGGTTTAAACCATTTCTTCATAAACTTGTTCTGTCTTGCCTTGTGTGATTCAGGGTGTTGGCAGCGTGTCTGTGCGACGAAGCATTTTGTGTTTCTTCTGGTGAATATTCACTCACTTTCCTCACTAGACTACGTTTTTGTGCTAGTTTGGGTCATTCGCAAAAGCTCTGCTCATTGAACCCTCTACTTGTTTGGCAGCTGAGTACTACACAGAGGCTTAGAGGTTAACGTGGATTTCTTGAGATACCAATAATCCTGAGACCATTACTGGAGAGCATGTGTCCGTCTGTGGAAAACCGCCTGACTCATCAGACAGCCTTGGGTGGAGTCCCTGTTATAACCCAGTTGTCTGGGTCAGAAGGGCAGGGGTGATGGTTGAGTTAGCAATTGTGCAAGTCAGCTGATGTAACCCACAGACCTAGTGATGAAGAACTGTTCCTCTCTGGATGAGCAATACCTATTAGGCTTGCCCTGTTGACCTTTTCATATGCTGTAAGAACATAAATCCTTCCAAGGTGCTAGTGAACTTTACTGCTAGGTAAGAGACCCGTGGCTCTTATGCAACTGAGCGATGTTCCTTACCCCACTGAAGAGCAGAAAGACTCCTCCCCCGTTGTGTGGACACGTTAGGGTCAGTGCTCACATAAGCCTCACCCACCACATTCCTCTAACCAGCTGCTTACAGAAGACAGCATTTCCTCAGGGAGCAGAGCTTGAGGCTCTGAAGTAGTTTAACTGACCTCAACCACTGTGGTATCAAGGCCTGAGGATGTCTATAGTTTTGTAACAGATCTCTGGGTCACATGTTGTAGATAAATTAACTCCACTACAAAAAGGAATTTATTCTGCAGTATGTTGGATGTCTAAACAGCTTAAACCCCTAGCTTTCTAGTTGGTGTGGACATCTATTTAGAATCCGAAGTACACAAATATTCTTGCAGACTTCAAGCAAGAGCAAGTGGCAATACCCTGCACTTTGCCATTGCAGATGCACATTCCACTAATACAGTCATCTCACAGAGTTACAGCTGAATTGAAGGATTTAAACAGAAAAACTTCATATATTCTTTATCTCTCTCTTCCTCCCCCTCCCCGCTTCCCTGTAGGTGGGAAAAGAAATGCTTTCTCAACTTGCAAAGCAAAGGCGGCGACACCAGGACCCCTTCTGGAGATGGAAGCTTGTTAAACCCTAGGTGTGTCCTTCATCCACACAGACCACCCCCAAGGAGTCTGTCTAGGATGTCATTCACCCTGATGTCACTGCTAGAGACACTGAATCATAAAGACAATCACTGCCAAAATCCTTCACTATCACGAGGTCCAGCCCTGATATAAATAGAGCAAAATGAGCTCCTGGGTCAGCAGAGCAGCTTTTGTCTTCACTCCACCTCTGCCTTGCACTCTTAAGCCCCATCTCATCTGTGTCGGTATCAAGTCAGCAAACAAAGTAGCATGGCTGTCTCTGCCTGCTTCAGCCAAAAGAGTAACATAGACCACAGCTGCCCCATACAGCACATTGAGGAATGGAATTTTGCCTGGACCAGGATGACACACTCAACCTTTGTTTTATTTAATGGTGCGACAGGATCAATTCTGGTTTTAGCTTTTTTTAAGAAACTTGAATGCTTTTATATTTTAACTTTTAGTTTGTAATTTCTTTGGTGTATATTTTACTAGGTATGAGCTTTTAAACAAGTGTCAGAAATCTGAAATACTTTTTAAATAAAAGGTTTTCTTTTTTGTTTTCTTTTTTGGTTTTTTTTTTTCTGCCAGAGGAAAAACTGTATAAAAAAAAAAAAGGTGGCTTTTTGTTAAACTATTTGTAACAAATAGCAGCCTCTTCTCAGTCTATATAATACAGTGTCCTATAGAACTAAACAACAGTCCGCTGGTCAGTAGACACGTTAGTCTTGCATCATCTACTTTGTAAACATAAGCAATACATCCAGCAAATCTGACTGCAGTGAGTTCTCCTTCTCACCCATTCCCCTTCTCCTTGTAAAAAGCCCAGCACTTGAATTATTACTTCAATCGTTCTGTATTTGTATCTGTTTTTGTTAGCCTGTTAGTGGGATTTTATGCCAGTTGTTGAAATGAGCATTGATGTACCCATTTTTTTAAATAGTAAGGCACAGCCTTTGCCAAAAATACTGTCAACCTTTTTTTTTTTTTTTTTTTTTTGTCATTCCAGTTTGAGTTAATGTGCTGAGCATTTGTTTTTTAATAAAAGCTTTGTAATAAAACTGAAGTCAATTGCCTGGCTTAACATAAATGAGAGTGGCTTGCACCAGCATCCCACAGAGGTAGAGGCGAGGACAGGAAGGCACAGTCGCTTCTAAAGCTGAAGACTTTTGGCTCAGTGTTCCCCTGTAGGAAATGCAATGTGTGTTTGGATGTTTGCTCACCTGAAGTAAGGTCGTCCTGGAAAATGACTTTTTCTTCCTTAAAAAGAGCAGAAGTCTCTTGTTTCCATACCAGGAGTAAGGAATGGGCAGATTCAGTGCTCCCTTATGCTTCTCAGGTAGATTTGGTCCAAGTGGGAAGTACCAGGGCTGGTGATCTCTTCCTCTATCTTCAGTTTCCTACTAAAGCCTTAGTGAATGCAGCAGTGGTTCTAAGATGATGATTTGGAATATGGATTCCTTTCTTTCTGGCTGCAGTCCATTCCCACACAAGGGGTAGGAGCCTGCAGTTGGCTGCATAAATTATCTTGCAGTGAGGGACTGGAACTGGATGCTGAGGGCCTGGTTTCACAGTGTCAGATCCAGAGTTGGCATGGTCTGCCCCACTGCCAGTGGTGCCTGTGAGACATTTCTCAATAGTAAGCAACTCCTCTGCATGCTTCAAAACTGAAAACGCAGGCTTTTGAGTCTTTCAAGCCCCAAATGCTACCAGCAACCTTTCTGACACCTTTCCTGTTTTGTTCCGGGACTGAAATCCCACAGCTCTGAAACCAGACACAGATGCCTGACCCCTACTAAAAAGAGTTAAAAAAACCCAGTGCAGCCATAGATAAATTCCTCCAACGGTTTGTGAACACCACTGCAAAATAAACATTATGAACTGCACACTGAATCAGCATGCTTTGTATTCTAGCTCCTGAATCTTGTTAGGTGTGAGAGTGGAGTCAAGCTTGAGCTACAAGAAATGACAGAGGTGAGTTACAGCACAGGGAAGCGTTGTGATTAGATTGTTTATACCTGACCCTTAAACTCTGTTGCATAAGAAACGTCATAATTAAAAACGTTATAAAACAGCTTCCTCTCAAAAGAGCGTGCACTGCGCACAACCCCAGCTGTAAGAATGTAACCAGCATATTAGTTCTTGCAATATTTATTTCTAGCAACTAGTGATTATGTTAAAAAAAGCAAAACAAGCGACCAGGCAAGGGAATGCACTCAGATGGCAGGAGAAAAGGCCTCTGAGAGAACAGCAATTGTATACTGGAGTTTTGCAAGACTTGGCTACATTTCCATTCCAGTCATTTACCCCAGCCTTTGCTGGAAACCTGTTTGGTTTTTGGTTTGGGGTTTGGTTTTGGTTTTAAAAGGAAAAAAAGCAAGTACTTTAGTGCAGTAATTGTTCTAAATCAAGGATTACTGCAGCGAGTTCTCTAAATTACATGTTCCAAAGATACCAGGTCTTTTTAAAACTTGAACACGACTACTTTATTTAGATCTTTTAATCGCAATTTAAAAAGCCACTTACCCATTTTGCAAAAAAAATTGTTCCCAATAGAGGTGTCAGCATTATGTAGCACGTCGTCCCAAACACACTATGTAGTGAACAGCTGCCTGTCTTAAGGACGAAAGGTCTTTCAGCTCTGATAGTCAAGGAGAAAAAGAATTCAGGAGCCAAAAATAACATCTCTGCTGTTAACATACAGTGAGCAAGCACCATGTGTCGGGCTCATTCATAGATCAAAGACCTTTCACATACAGCAACTGTGGGAAAGGGTAATATGCAAGGCTTAGGATGCTCCCATGAGAGCACCTGAAAGAGTGACCATGCTATCCTGGAATACCCTCTGTGACTCAGGCTGGTGTTCGCTCCTGCCCCCCACTGCTAACTGGCATTTGTTCCTGCAGGACCAAAAGAGCAAATTGACCTGGGCCCTCAATTGTAGCACACCAGCTTGTCAGTGGAGACGGATGAGCTGGTAAAAATGGCCTAGTGATGATGGTGTTACTCTGGCAGGAAGACTAGGTTTAAATCCTTGTGATACGGAATAAATTATTCCAGGTCAGACTCAAAATGACACCTCAATTCCTGATGTGCAATTTAGGTAGAAGTCAGCATCAAACCATGTCTCTTGCGTGCCTGTATTTCCCACAGAAAATGTCTTTAAGGATTTAAGTGCTCCTACCTAACAGTTAATTATCCAGATGCTTCTGTACAAGCATTTATAAACCCACTCTCTCTCCATGCTTCATCCCTTGCATGCACCAGAACCAGTTCACAGTACAGGTAGTCCCATTCATAAACACAGGATCTCCTATCCTTGTAGCTAGAAAACTTTCCCCCTCCCCTCACTGAAAACCCAGCAAAGGGCAAAGACACAGAACAGAGCAGTTGAGCCCGGATTATTTACAGCTAATCAGGCCAACATCACAGGATGGTCTGGCTCCTCAGGCTTCTGGATCACCTGGACCAGAGCCATTTCCCCTCTGTTACATAAAAGAACAATGCTTCAGGCTAACTTTGGCTTCTTTACACAGCAAGTGATGACAGATTCACTAGTTGTGCTTATAGGGACTCACCAGCTCTAGAGAATTATCTTCTGTTGTAGTTTCCACTTTGTCTTATCCAGTAGAAAAGGCAGTAAGTTAGTTGTACAAGTGATAGCTCAGTGGTTAGGTCAATTTGCAGCAAATGTGGGACCTTAAGGACCCAATCCTTGCTCCAGGCTGTAGGACAACAGAATCTGGAGCATCAGTTGTCTGCACTCCTTTTGAACTGCTACAGTGCACAAGCCTTTGAAGCAACCATTCCATTTCCTGATGGCCTCCTGCTTCAACTGATCTACATGGTGGCTAATTAGGCTGAAGAAAGACAGCAGAAAATGAAGGATACTGCAGAGACTAAGAAATGCCCACTAACCTCTCCAGTAACGCAACTGCAGTTTGTTCCCTTGCATTCACAAGGGGGCTAAAAGCCAGGAAGCCTCTTCTCCAGCATAAGGACCTAATACAAAGCAGGAAAGAAGGGGGGAAAGAAGTGAGTCCACAAATAGCCAGAATCCTGTCAACTATAAACACATTTCTTAAGTCAGGTCAGTAACAAAACTACTGGGCTAAGAAGTTAGCCAAAACAAGAGCAGCTGTAATAGGGAAATGGTCTGCTGTAAACACCCAAGTTCTGAGATAAAGCCAAAATGATGCTTCCAATATGAAAGTAGACAGTGTGCCCCAGCACATTCATTTTTCCACATAACAGGCTAGAGAGATAACCTCTGGATTAATGTATTAAATGTACCCTGTGAATCTCCTCACAGATACACAGATCAGCTTTAGAAAGCAAGCAAGCAAACAAGCATCTGCTGCCCCAGTAAAAGGGACATGTCTGCTAGAAATATGCGAAGTGAACCTCTTAACCACCAGCTTTCAGCCAGGTCAAAGCAAGGACTAAAAGTCTGGTCCCCATCCTTCCAGATACTCATACCTTCAGGCCATGTGCTTTTAATGATGTGATCTCTCTGGGTGGCACACTCCTCCTGGGACAACTTCACTGAGCCACAGAAGCAACATGTGCTTGGCTGGGGTAATAGCCACTTTCTTACCTGGTCTGGGATACACATGAACCAGCAGAGCTAGGAATAAAATTTCCATCTGCCTCAAACCACGAGAGCAATTCACCCAAGAACTGGTCTGTCCTGTTCACTGCTGAGAAAGGTAGCTACGACAAAATAAAATCTTCAGCAGAATAGAATAAGATACTCCACAATTTAATGGTGGTCAAGACACTTGGAGAGGCAACTGTCCAAATTTGGATGAATTTCCTACAGCTAAGGTAAGTGGCAGAAAAAAACCTGCAGGATATTGATTAGGCTGAGGTAGGACCATCTCTGTGTCTTCTTTTAAGACAGAGAGAATAAGCCACAGAAAAATGGACTCTGATCTTCACAAAGAAAATGCTATATAAGGGTTAGTTCTTATCAGCACCTGCCTGTGACAGTGCAGTGCTGGGTAACAGAAGAGACAACACACACTAGAAATGGCAGTGGCTATACCCCTTGATTGAGATGAAGTTTCAAAGCCTAAGATGGACAAGATTCTTAGTATCTAGTTGCTGTTTATGCTACCCTGAAATATGTTTCCGTCTTACTCTTATGTGAAATGTTGTCATGACTAACATCACCAGCAGCAACTTCTTCCTCTCCATCCTAAATTAGATAGGCACTAATCATATTTGCAAACATAATGCCACTGTTTTTTTTCCTGTTGAAACCTGCTAGCTCAAGCTCTTCATACAATGTCCTGAAACAACTCACAAGCAGTAACACCTTAATCTAAAGTCCCTCAACAAATTTAACAATGAGTGGTTTTAATCACTGTTTGAAAATTGAGATTTTGATCACTGTTTTGAAAATTGAAGGATTCTTGCTAACTCCTGTCTTGGAATCAGCTCTATTCAAAGGTATCTAACACATGCTGATTTCCAGCTGCCATGTACAATACCAAATTTTGTTACTTCTCTCTAGTCCTCAGCAGATGCAGCAGCTTCTCCAAAAAAACTTCCTTCCATGCAGAAGGCAGAGAAAGTGTCTCTCTTTCCCTACCAGTAGCCAAAAATATACATGGAATATTAGTTAAAAGAAAGCAAGCTTTGTGAGCAAGCAAGCACTAGCAAACTGCTATACTTAAATCTGAATAACCCGCTGTAAGGGCACTGCTTTTGTTTAGACTGATTTATCCATTTAGATTGCTTTTTAGATTTTAATTCCCAATTTCAATATAAATAAGTTGTAATTTGAGCTAGGTGCCTGTGGGTTTGCACTACTCTCATAACAGGAATTAAAATGACATTCTAAGTCAAACTGATACAAGCCATATCTAAGCCCAGTCTTATCTGACGCTCAAACTGTTCATTCCCTTAAAACACAATAAAAGCCATTTTTCAAGAATCACAGCCCTTATTGGAAACTTTCCTCCTTGTAATGTTAGCTGCTATCGTAGAAAAGCTCTGCCTTTTGCCAAAAAACAGAAGATCGTGCCTACTGTACAATCATTTGACATATTCATCACCATTTGCTATTATTCTTCCCTTCCACCAACTTGCTACTTTAAATGTCACATGTCAATAAGCTAAGCAACATTTTCAACTCTAAGCCTATGCAAATAATCTTTAGAGGATAACTCTGCCCTTGAGGTAAACTTATATGCTCATCTTTTATTCTAAGACAACCAAATGTCCTTACAAATTTAGATCCAAGTAACAATACTGGCTTCAGTTCATAGATTTGCCAGTTTAGCATCAAGTTAGGCAACAATAGCTTTCAGTCCTAGCCAAAAATAAAATGCCAAGTCTTTAAGAAAGGCTTCTTCCTTAGTTCCAATTGATGCTTTTGTTTAAAGAAATAAAACAGATTGTATCAGGAAAACCACTTATGTGAAATTAACAGCATCTTTCCCTCCCCCTCCCATATTGTCCTTTTTAAAATAAAAATTTACCACTTTAAAAACCTCATCTAATACTGAAGAAATTAATTTCACCAAGTATCTTCTGTCTCCTACTCTATAAAGCAAGCTATTAAAATGCTTATCATAGATCTCACTCTTCACAGACACTGCTGTTTTCCTAAAAGCACCCTGAATGGGTTTAGAATCCACAGCCTCATTCAAATCAGCTCTTCCAATGAAGTATTTCCCTGTAGCCTACTTCACCCACACTCCTTCCTTAGATGACTCAAACAAGTTTTTCAGGCACATAAGACATTATTTGGGTGCCTAACTTTCACTGCTGGTTGACATTAATGTCATGATAGCACCCAGAAATCAATCTACAAACAGTTGTGATAACCCTTTGGCTCAAAGAAAAGTGAAGCAGGCGTGTGAAGAATCAGAAGGCAGTATTATAACCTGACTGAAGCATAGTCTGATTGCTACTGTCTGAAATTCCTAATTAGCAGCATGAGCAAAGTTTTGTCTTGCAACTGATTCTGTTCAAGTAGATAAGCAGCAAACATAAGAGGGAAAGGCTGAAAACTGGTGCTTGCTTTCACATTCTCTCAGGAACTGGAGGGGGGGTGGGAGAACTTGTAATTAAAATCCACACCAGTTCTCTTCTAATATTCCCCACTCTTTTGCAAATTAAGTTCAAGATTTAATAAAACTAGGACCTCCAAAATCAAACTCTTCCATTAACACTACTTGAGAGGCATTTTGGTGCCGAAATCATTGCAAGATGAGATACCTCACCTGCTTAAGACATCCTGCAAAACATCACCAAGCTTCCAACTGAAACAAAGGCTTTTAGAAATCTCAGCCTAAATTGCAATGACAAATTGCTACATCAGCTGTAAGGAACCCACTTGCCCTCTTGTAGTCTTCAGAGAAATAAGGACTTCAGGCAGTTGTCAGAAACATTTTACCTTTTACAACCTCTTTATAGAGAAAACCTACAGCTAAAAAGGCCTGTGAAATATAAATGCAGTATATCTTATACCTACTTATGCTTGCCAGCTTTGCAGGATTCAAACCAGCAGGTCTCAAAGTTAACGTGAAGTAGTTAAGATTCAGAATTGAAGCGAGGACTTTCAGTGGCTGCAGTACTCCAATCCAGCTCAGGGCATCACTGCATGCTGAGGAGTCAGTGATTAGAAGTGGTTCCTTCATCAGATCATGGACCATTATGTTAAGTACGCAGGCCCTGCCACCACCAGAGGAGAGAAATCTCGGTCTGTAATCAAAACCCACCTATTGTAAATGTGTGGTTTTATCAATTCCTATTGCACAAACGTTTAATAGATCTATTTGAGTATGCAGGGATAATTAAGAAAAAAAAAAAGGACGAATTTTATTTGTTGCTAAATTAACCACACGTAAATTCCAGCTGTTTACTGCAGACCTACCACCAAGCATATGCTTCTTCCCACGGCTCATCAGAAAGCCTCTCGCTGGTGAAAGCGGTTAATCCACAAGATTTTTGTTGCTGAAGCCAAGACTCCAAATGGGGGGGGCTTTAGGTTACTAACGACAAAAATTTTGCATTCTTTAAGTAGCGAATACTGTAAGGGTTTGTCCATTTACAGAAAACCACCCTAGAAGTGGTTGCTGGCAGAGAAACAGGACCAGAATAGAAGAAGTTGTTACCAGGCAGGACTGAGATGCACCAAGCAAAGCAGCAGTGAACAGGCTAGGAAAAAATCCTATTATCTGGCAGCATGAAACAGCCAAAGTAAGCGACAAGTTCCTTAGTGCCCGCCAAGAAAAAGCCTTGTGCTAAAATATCCTCCTATGCCCTGGCCAACTTACAGCATCTGACCCAAGGTTGGAAACCAAACTTGGCCTTATGCCTCATTTTGATGCCTCATGCCACCACATGACAAAAGAAACAGCTCCTTTAATAACTAGGTTTAGCGTTTTGTATTATTCCTACCCCAGAAGCAACCAAAACATCCAGCCAGCATTAGAGCTTTATGGTGCTAGCTTCTCTGCAAAGAATGCATTGCTGCAAGTTATTTGCAATTTGCAGAAAACCAAATAGAAAACCTCTAAGGGAACAGAAGAGTGAACAAGTGCAAATCTGCTCCATGGGCATACAAACCTAAGTCTGATTAATATATTATCAGTAACAACCCAGACCTCATTACATACTGTTCTGTGATCATACACATTTAACTTAGGACTCTGCAAAGCACTGCATTTATGAATGGAAAAGTATACTGGATAGCAAATGGTACATAAAAAGAGACTCTAGTTTTCATGTGCACTTTTGAGAAGATCATGAAATTCAAGACAGGTCATTCTACAAATCATCTTTACAATTACCAGATTGCGCCGCTACTTAACTCCTCTCTAACAGAATTCAGCAGAAGCACTTCCTTTTGGCTGTGAACAATAGGAAAAGCTGCTGAAGGAAGATATAACATGGAAAGATCTAGCTCTGAAAACAATCACAGCATCTGCTTTTGCTCCTAGTCTCAGCCCTTCCAGAAAGCACAGGGAAATAGGCATCATTCAGGTCAGTTTTGTAATTGCTTATGAGGTTGCATAACTGTAGTGAATAAAAAAACTGAGATATGGGTCACTGCTGTGGTACTAGTTAGAAAAATAAGAATATAGCACTGTAGCTACAGGCGTAAGAAGACTCTTGCCTCTCTTGAAAAAATTAACTTCAAAACTGTCAGCAGTAAATTTTTCAGGAAAGTTGGAAACTACAAACTACAAAAGCAGCCACTTGGTACTGTAAAATGGCTTTCTCTAGATACAAGAATAACAAACACGCAGCAATCTTTGGCAATTATGTGTTGATAACTTAAAAATTCATAGTTTGAACATTTGCAATAACCATCATATATATTAAAATGGGCACAGGCTTGAAGAGCAATACTATGAGATATGGAAAACATTTTGTATCTCGTGATGCTACACATTGGATGCTTACAAAAAGAATTCACTAGAGAACAGCAAGCATCTGTACTTTCACAGAAGTTCTCCCATCTCTTGGCAAGGGAAAGAATTTTTCATGAAGTAAAAAAAGTCAGTATCAGCAGAAACAGCACGTTTCACGTCCTCATGGTTCATATTCTTCCTCTTTTGAGGAGGCAATCTGGAAACACATCTTTTTCAGATGCCTTTCTCTTTGTAATAAGTACAGATTTTACCAATCACATTTTGCAACAATTAGAAAGTTTCTTGTTTTTTTCTTGTTTTCTTCTCCAGCCTGATAAACCTTCTCTAATTTATAGTAAGAGGATCTACAAAAGAGATTGACTGACAAGCCTCAAAAGTTTCAGAAATATCTGAAAGTGTGATAAAAGCCTTAACCACAGAACAAACATTAGGAGAAGAACCACCAAATATGGCATTAACAAAACAAAACAAAACAAAAAGTCTGAATCTCATTTTAAGCCACTATGATGCTTTTCAGAAGCCTGATTCACTGCTAGAGCACTGGGCTTGTAGCACTGGATCACATGGCTCTGAAGAGCCCATGCTACATGTTGTACTTAACTCCTGCCTTGTCAATAGCCTGCCATTTATATAACAATTGGGTTTAGAAGGACGTTTACATTTGTCACTTCAAAACCCTTTGGTCAGAAGGCTTGGGGGAAAAATACAACTTGTGTAGGACAGAAGAAACAAGTTGTTTTATGCAGTTGCTCACTCAACCCTTCCTTCCTGCTGTGTAAAACAAAGCATAGGTTCACAAAACTCCCATCTGGACAGAGCTGGACCATTCACTCCAAGGCAGCTACTCATTTCCAGGGGCTAGATTTCATCAACAGACAATTAAAATACATTAAAATTCTTTGGCAATGCTGTTTTCCCAACTAAATTCCTACCAAGGAGATATTCTGCAAGTCTCCATGAAGAAGGAAGGAGGAAGTAATA